CGGTGGGAGCGCCACCACGCTCCCAAGCGGCGCACTGTAGCAGTGCGCCACCAGGCCGGCCGATATACTTTGAATATAATTTAAGATAATGTTGAGTTGTCCCTTAACCTGGTCTATGTTGACAGTAAACAATAAAGTATAAATACATTTCCCTAAAATATTTTCTGGGAAAATAGGTTGGTCTTTGCTTTCTCAACATGACATCAGATCACAGGAAACCCACCACTACCAAGGGAAAGAGTCTAAATGACATCAAATGGAAATGTGCCCTCCAGGGAAGTGGGAACAGAGAACTCAGCCAGGGTGAGAGGTGGTGGGGAGGGTGGGCAGGAGATTGGAAGTTCGGGAGAGACACAGGTTTTGCAGGGTCTACACGCCTTATTAAAGTTGTTACACTGGTCTTAAGATCAATGGAAATCCTTTGAGAATTTTTAAGCAGGGGAAGTCATATGGAAATATAGAGAATGGCTTGATGCAATCCAGAATTTCTTAAGAAATGTCTGCTTAACTGGAACAAATAAAACTGCATGCATAGGAATGACTCTCCTTCGAAGAATATGATACTATTCTTTGCATTCTTTTATTTGAAAAGGTTGATCTCACCTGAAATTTAACAATAGATTTTGAAGCCGAATATTCTAATGGTTGTTGTGCCATGATGGATGATTTGGGATACTCACCACAGAAATTTCCTGGGGCAATAACTTGGCTGAAATCCTTTTTTCCACAGTTTAGTCTTCAGTGTCACAGGTGCAAGAGTTCTATTTTGTTGTTGAACCAAGAAATGCTGGTTTTATTAGCACTTGTTTCTCAATAATTTTTCTAGTTTCCTTATGTACCAACATACAAGGAAAAATGTGAGAAAAAAGGTTGTGTTTCCCACTTTTCTGAAGTAAAACACATATCTTTTTAATATGACTGTAAAAATGATTATTTCAGAGGCCCTAATGTTTTTAACAAATTTTTTTATCCCCAATAGAGCGAAGAGCAGCATGAGGCCTGAGAACCAGAGCAGCGTGTCCCAGTTCCTCCTCCTGGGGCTCCCCATCTGGCCAGAGCAGCAGGGCGTGTTCTTCACCCTGTTCCTGGGCATGTACCTGACCACGGTGCTGGGGAACCTGCTCATCGTCCTGCTCATCAGGCTGGACTCTCGCCTCCACACCCCCATGTACTTCTTCCTCAGCCACCTGGCCCTCACTGACATCTCCTTCTCATCAGTCACTGTCCCAAGGATGTTGATGGACATGCAGACTAAGTACAGATTGATACCCTATGTGGGGTGCATTTCTCAGATGTATTTTTTCATATTTTTTACTGACCTGGACAGCTTCCTTATTACATCCATGGCATACGATCGATATGTGGCCATATGCCACCCTCTCCATTACACCACCATCATGAGGGAAGAGCTGTGTGTCTTATCAGTGATTATATCCTGGTTCCTGTCCTGTGCCAGCTCCCTCTCCCACACCCTTCTCCTGACCCGGCTGTCCTTCTGTGCAGCTAACACTGTCCCCCACTTCTTCTGTGACCTTGGTGCCCTGCTCAAGCTGTCCTGCTCAGACATCTTCCTCAATGAGTTGGTCATGTTTACAGTAGGGGTGGTGGTCATAACCCTGCCATTCATATGTATTCTGGTATCTTATGGTTACATTGGGTCCACCATCCTGAGGGTCCCTTCTACCAAAGGGATCTGTAAAGCATTGTCCACATGTGGCTCTCATCTCTCTGTGGTGTCTCTGTATTATGGGGCAATATTTGGGCAATACCTTTTCCCAACATTAAGCCATTCCATTGACAAGGACATCATTGTGGCTCTCATGTACACTGTGGTCACACCCATGTTGAACCCTTTTATTTACAGCCTTAGGAACAGGGACATGAAAGAGGCACTTGGGAAACTCCTTCGTAGAATGTTTTTCTCATAGTGACATCTGACCTTTTTAAAAATCAGAACCTCATTTTGGTTAACCTCATGTATTTGACTTTCCATTTGAATGTGTCTCTAAACCTTTTATGTTCTCAAGTCCTAAAACAAATGATGACCTGTTGGATGTACTCGGTAAGTATTTGTCAACCAGGCTTTCATTCTCCTCTTAGCAGTGCTCTCCTTTATAAATAGTTTTTGACCAACAAATGTTAAATTAATTTTATTACATATTTCTGCAACTTGGGGGGGATAGGCATAAATAACACAAATATACAGCTCAGTTATCCCTTATTTGAGGAGAATTTTTGGAGACTCATATTTTTGACCTGTATTCACAGGCTTTAACCCAACACAGAATCTACAAAATTAGCTATATTATTTCCCTATTCTCTCTCACACAGACTAAACGGGTTTTGTTTTTATTTCTTTGGATCTACTGAAATCAAAGAATTCAAACTTCTTGCCACTTAAATAAAAGAAAATGTATTATTCTCTGTCCATGGTGTAAAATGTTATAAGAACAACTCTGAAGGTTGAGGGTTCTATGGGAGATCAAGACTTCCCCCGGGACTACCCCTTTGCCAATGCTGTGTGGTTGATATTGCTTAGTCCTCATATTCAGTCCTTAATGAAAAGTGCTTCATGCTGGCCTCATTTGAAATATAACCAGATAACCAAATTAGAGAGCCAACTCTCTGAAGGCATCATCGTTTTCCTACAAATGCCACTGCAGATTCAACACTGACTACCCTTCATGGGCATCCTGTCTTCTCAAATGAAGAATGAAAGCTTCACAAACTTTACTGTGAGTAAGAATTCCTGGAGACCTTGTTAAAACACTGTTCCTGGGATCTACCATTACAAATTCTGATTCAGTAGTTCTGAGCTGGGACCCAAGAGTTTGCATTTCTGCCACGTGAAGCTGATGCTGCAGAACTGTGAACTAAATCTTGGAAGTTGTGGAATGCACATTTATAACACCTTCCATAAATTGTGGTAGTAGGTGGAGTGAAGCCGGAGACAGCTTAAGTTATTTTAGTAATAGAGAAATCAGTAATTTGTGTTGATATTTTCATATTAATTCTGACTGCAGTAAATTTCTTTCTTCAGTCTCTAACATAAGACCAAACTATATGTTCAGTGAAAATCAAACCAAAACTTTGGGGAAAAAATTACATCCCATGTCCATCTGTGGCTCCTTATTTTCATTAAGCCTTATGGAATTTCAGTGTGACTTGTGACTTTGCTAATGTCACTCAAAATGCTCTGTTTGTCCTTATGGATTGGGGCATATTCACATGTGCCATAATAACTCTAAAAAACATATTTTTATACTTTTGAACTAACTGAAATAATTATTTCACACATGATGCACAATAAATTGTACCTTGGTTCGAAAGCACTAGATGATTTCAGAAAAGGTGTAAACCACAAAGGACACTTGAGTTCTCAGCAGGATATTGAACAATTTTATGTTACACAATGTCATTTATTCCTAAAAAGCCTCATTTAATTTGCCATGTTGTTGACATAGCCCATAAGACAGCATGTGTCTTGAATCCAATCCATATTATTGCTATGTTTACCCCAGTCTTTTACCCTCTTTTTTTTTCTTGGCATCTGCCCTATGCAAAATGCAATATGCTTACCCAATTTTACACATAAATATAAGCCTAATTGGTAACGTAAGCAAGAGCTGGAATGACATTGGAGGCTATGTGGAGGCCTTAAACTAGAATCTGTTTGAAGTGTGAGGATAGAAATTCCCATTCATTTTGAAGGAGTTTTATATTTGGTATATATGTGGAATATTTCTACAGCAAGTTTCCTCTGTTATTTATCTAATTTCATCCCATGACCTAGGTCTACAGGCGAGTGAAAACAATCTGGCGTTGTTGTCTCCTTTTCCACAGAGTTCAACCTGAAATTCTATTGTTCATGGATTTTCACAGGCATTTTCATCGTTGCATTCTTCTCTTTTCAAAAGAGCAAGCCACAGGCACTGAGGAACCGAAGTAATAAAGCCCATTATAATGGATGCTTTTGGAAATAGTAAACTTTTTCAGACAAATGACAAAAGAGATGCTTTCAAAGCACTGTACAGTCTTTAATAAAGTTTCACAGTGAAACTTTGTATTAACTTAATAGGAGAGTGACTAAAAATTTAAAATTTGTGTATCGATATGCATATAAGTAGTAACACAAATACGGTCACAATAAATTATAGAAAATGAAAGCTATAAAATACTATAAAATAAATCCCATTTATGTAAACCTGTATGTTTAAGAATAAAAGCCATTTCTGAAAGATAAAAAATAAATAATGGAAGGGTGAGGTACTTTGACTTTCTTCTTTATTGTTATGCCTGTATTATTTGAATTTCCATCTCACTTAATTTTATAAACAGCAAACCAAAAAAGAATTGCCACTTGGGAGGAAAATCTCTATCCACATCTCAAACTAATACCTAACTAGGGGACACCTGTATCCGGCAGGGGAGGTCTGTCACCATCTCCTTTCAGGCTCACATTCACAAAGCATGAACCTTGACATTTTTCCTAAGTACACTGTTTCCTCAAAGTCTGCCCTAGGAGGCACTTGCCTCAGAATTACCTTGCTTCCAACTCATGAATGAATATCTCTGGATCTGCATCTTTAACAAGCTCCCCGGGTGATTCTGATGAACATCAAAGTTTAGGGACCACTGCCCTAGGGCATGTGTCCTGGAGGGAGTAAGAGGAAAACAGCAGTTAATGCGTGTCTCTAACCACAAGCTTGGTGCCCTGTCCCCTTGAGTCCTCTCCCTCGTGGGTAGAGTAGAATCTTCACATCTCCATTTCTGAGGCTGGTGAATTGTGCAGTAAGCTCCAGGCTCATGTTGTTCCTCTTTGATGTCAGTGAGAGGTTTAGGACCACAGAAGTTGTAGGCTAAATCTGGCCTCTGGGTTTCCTAGAGAAAAGCGGAGTAACCAGTCCATACTCCTGGGAGCTGGATAACTTGAGCATAAAGTTCAGAGCAGAACTGGGCATCCTTCATCAAAGCAGGTGTGTGTGTGCATGTATGTGTGTGTACAGGTGGTCAGCACTTCTCTGTGCTCCTGCTGATGTAATTTCTTATTCCTAGTTCACAAAGAAGGGATGCAGCAATCACCACTGGCCAATTACTCTCCTGACTTTAATCCTGAGCCTTGGGGAGATGAGGAATTAACTTGAGCATAAAGTTCAGAGCAGAACTGGGCATCCTTCATCAAAGCAGGTGTGTGTGTGCGTGTGTGTGTGTGTACAGGTGGTCAGCACTTCTCTGTGCTCCTGCTGATGTCATTTCTTATTCCTAGTTCACAAAGAAGGGATGCAGCAATCACCACTGGCCAATTACCCTCCTGACTTTAATCCTGAGCCTTGGGGAGATCGAAACAGCCGGTTACATACATTGGTGGGCACATCCACACATCCAGGCCAGGGGTCCCGCCTTACCATTCACGTTGTAGGCATCAGAAGTGTGCTTATTCAGTGCACACAGTATTTACCAGCCCTCTTTAATGTTTCTCTCCAAAGTCCCTGACCATTCCCTCCCCTTTAGATAGCATTACTACTTTGACTTGAAAGTATGTTAAAGGACACTTCTAGCTAGAGAGCTTTGGTTCCTTTCTTCCTTTATGGAGCACCCATATTGCCACCCCTTGTGAGAATCTGTTTGATGATTTCCTGCCTGTAATTCCTGTGGAAGTCCCACACCTTCATCCAAGGCATCGAATCTTGGGTCCTGGAGAGATCTACTACCACAAGCACTCTTTGCTGGGTTCCACTGAAGATAAGACACAGTTTCTTCCCAAGATGTTTGAGCTTCA